CCTTCCTCTTCTCCCTTCCTCCTTCTCCCTTCTCCCTCACGCCCCCTGTCGCTCGGTCCTCTCTCTCTCTCTGCTCCCTCACTCACCAGGAGACTTTATTCCGATTTGGTGACGCCTCCCTTGCCCAGCCCAATCCGTCGCCCGCGTCCCTTGTGCGTTGACTCACGTTTGTCCCTTCCTCTCTTCTACCCTCCCTCCTTTTTCTCGCTCTCCTCCTCCTCCCTCCTTTTCTCGCTCTCCTCCTTCCTCCCTCCTTTTCTCGCTCTCCTCCTTGCGCTCGCTTCTTTCTCCTCCATTTCTCGCCCTTCTGCGTCTCTCTCTCTTCTCTCTCCTCCTTCTTTCGCCTTGTCTCGCCTTCTCTCCCCTCCTCCCCTCCTTCCTCCTCCCTCCTCTCCTCCCTCCTCCCCTCCTTCCTCCTCCCTCCTCCCTTCCTCCCCTCCTTCCTCCTCCCTTTCCTCCCCTCCTCCCTCCTTCCTCCTTCCTCCTCCCTTTCCTCCCCTCCTTCCCCCCCCTTTCCACCTTTCCCTCCCCTCCCCTCCTTCCTCCTCGCCTCGCTCTCCCCTCGTTCCGATGAGTGAAGGGAAGGGGCGGTCGCTCTAACAAGGCGGGTAGGGTTCTCTCGCATCCCTTCTCTCGTCTCTCCTCTCCCCCCTTTTCTCTCTTTCCCCCTCTCCCCCTCTTCTCTCTGTTTCTCCTTTCTCCGTTTTACCCTCGTCTCTCCGTTTCTCCTTTCCCCACTTTTCCTTTTCTCTCTTGTTCTCTCGTCTCTCTTTCCCCCCCATTTCTCTCTTTTTCCCTCTTCTCTCGTTTCCCTTCCCCCACCTTTCTCCTCTTCTTTCTGTTTCTCCTTTCATTTCTCCTCTTCTGACCTCTCTGCTCTCCCCTCCCTTATTATTACATTCCTCCTCTTGTTATTGTTGTTCTCATTCATCTTTTCATTTGTTCCATTTAATGACATCGTCGAGGTTTAGTTGTTTTATATCAAGCTTTATTTTTTCATCGCCATTTACAGTCGTCATTGTGGGTATTGCGGACGCTGTCGCCATTACTGTTGACATGCATTGAAAGCTTTGAGATCGGCATTTGCGTTTGTGCATTGACTCATTCGTCCTCCCCCCCACCCCTTTACTCACTCTGTGTGTGTAGTGTGTGTGTGTGTGTGTGTGTGTGTGTGTGTGTGTGTGTATGTGTGTGTGTGTGTGTGTGCGTGTGTGTTTGTAAACGTGTTGCTAGTTATAGTAACGCTTTAGGGGAAGACAGTGGAAATCTGTTTGATATAGAGAGTTTGTGCATTGTGTCTGTTGTTATACTTTTTTTTATATTACTGGATTTTTTCATCGGAGAGAGAGAGAGAGAGAGGGAGGGGAGAGAGGAGAGAGAGAGAGAATGGAAGGGGGTGGGGGGGGGTTGTTGGCAGCAAGTGTTGGCATGAGGAGATTCGCCAGGTATGTGGGTCGCGCATGTACCGTTGTACCCCTATCTCCCCCCCCCCCCCATTCTTTTGCTTTTGGTGTTGCGGGGTAGTAAACATCTCCCTCCCTTTGGGCAACATGCCACGCGCGGCGACTGGGTCTAATATCGGGGCGTTTGCAAGGTGGACGTGACCCTTAGGGAACGTGGTTGGTTAGCTTGTTCTTGGTCTGGTTCGGGAGGATTCCGGGCCCTCTTGTGGATGGGTTTGTGTCGGTGTTTGTGAGTAGGCTTAGGGTTTGTTTGTGTATGTCTAATGGGAAAGGGGGCGCGTTATTCGTTTTGTTCGAAATTAGCAAAAAGTGGAAAGTTCTCTGTTTGCATTGTTGCGCAAGGCGACGATGCGGTATTGCTAAGCAGGCGTGGCCGAATTGGGGTCCCGGGAGAGGGAAGCTAAGGTCACACTCGTCTCCCTTGTCCTGGGATCCCGAGACAGCCTCGCCGAAGTCAGGTCAGCTGTCCGAGGATCCCTGGACAGAGATTATTAGCGTGACCTTGGCTCGGAGGAGAACCGCTTTGGCGACGCACAGGTCTGGACTAACCACCCGCTTCCTCCCACAGAGCATGGAGGCGACCAAGGCCCTGATGAACCACCACCTCGTGACGAAGCTGGAGCTGAGCCTCGAGTCCGAGTGCCGCCTGCTCCTCCAGCAGTGGACGTCGCCTCACTTCACCCACCTGTGCAAGCGGTTCCTCGAGTCCCACCACGTGCAGCTGCAGAAGCCCGTCAACCTGCCCCTGTAGTGGCTGCCGTGCGCGATGGCGAGGAGAAAGCCCTCCGCGACGCGACCCTGGCGAAGAAAACACACTTTCCGAGTGAACAGGACTGGCTGTGGTCCGGACGCTCATATTTTTTTTATTCTATTTACAGTGTTTCGTTTTAATTTTGAATGGTGATAGTGATACCCTCGGGATCTTGGTGCGCCGACGCTGTTCCCGCGCGCGCTCGGGTGGCGAACTCTTTCCCCCAAAAAAGAAGAAGTGACCGGCGATCGTTTTCCTTCTCGTAAACGTGTCCTTTTTAAATCGCGAGTCGGCGAGTCTGTGGAACGTGGAGACTGCTTGGGCGGCCGCGGGAGATTCGGTGATATATTTTTCCTTCTCTTTCTTCCGATATCGCCCTCACTGTCGATCGCTGTTCAGGAAAGCAAAGAAGAGTGTAAGGGACAGCTTGGTTTAAACACACTCTTTTCCCTTTTCTCTCTCTCTCTCTATCCCTGTCTTGAGTGAATTGAAAAGTTCCATTTATATATATATTCAGAGTCGAGATTCGTTTTGTTTCACTGCAACACCAGGAGAGAGACTTCGGACAACGGGAAGCGACAGAAGCCAGACGCACCACGGGCGAGTGTGACGAACAAAAAACGTTGCGGGAGGAAAGTGCGAAGCAACATGCAGCTACTTGCAGGAAGGTCTGAACTTCTGACAACCTTTTGGACTCGGGAAGTCGAGGGCGGAAAGCTCCCCTCTGCGCATCCTGGTGAAAGACAGCAAAATGATATCTTAAAAAAAAAAGTATTTAACGGATGCGAACCTATAGTTTGAAAAAAAAAGAATAGGAAATTTTTTTGAAGAAATAACGTGATAATAGTACTAATTATTTGTGACGTCGCTGTTCAAATGCAGTGGTTTGAGGCCTTTTTGGAACCCCCCTTTATCCCCCCCCTCCTGGTGCAGAACCCCCCCAGTCCACCTCGAGGGCCTTGTACAGTGTACAGTTAACCACTTGGTCGTCCTCAGCTAAAGTGGATATATTTAATAAGATATTTCTATAGTGCCCAGCAACTATACTAGGTTCAGTATGAAAAGTCTCTTTTTTTCCATGTAAGGTGTTTTAGTGTATCGGAATGTCATTTATGCAAATTTCTTAAAAGAGAAGATATATTAAAAACAGTACTTTAAAAAAAAGGCAACATTCTCATGCACTTTCGACACTCGTGTAAATAATAGGACTCATCGTGCACAAGTTATATTTTCATGGGAGGTTTTATCGGGGATGTGTTTTGTACATCTTTCAAATGTGAAGTTACAAGTGTGTGAATTTTGTAGTTGATTTTTATAGGATAAAAAAAGTTGTTAAAAAAAACAAGTACAACCTCTGCAACTATGACAGCCCTTCAAATTTTTGTCATTGAATGTGAAATCTCATGCAATGAAAAAGTTATTGAATTTGATCAAATGATTTATTTTAATACCATACCATAAATGTTCACGAAATATTTACTTGTAAGAATATGAATTGATGTGTAAGGGAAGTGACTTGCATCAGTGAAAGACTTTTGCGTTTCTTAATTAATTTATGTAAATATTTTAGTTCCCCCCCCCCCTACTTTCTTAATCCAACCCCCCCACCTCACCCTTTCATCCTCACCCCTTACCCCCCCCCTCTCTCCCCTCCCCTTATGAAGAACTTGTTTTAAAAATGAATTAGAAAGAAAAAAAAGATACTGCTATTTATCCTCCCCACATGTATGTTTGTGTTTCAAGTCTCCTATATTATTATTTTTTTTCCTGTATTTAGCCTAGTCAGATACCCAAAATATCATTTCCTTCAGCTATGTATTGATTTAACTTCGGACGTCCAGGCACTCTGAGCGGACGCTGTTTTAAACTAGTTATTGTTCGGGGCAGAGTTGGTCGGATTGTGCTCTTCTTAGGTTTTTGATTTCCTTCGCTCTCGGCTTTCGGACTTTCTTTTTTCTTTTCTTTCTCTTTCTCTTTTTTTTTCTCTTTCTTTGCTTTCATCTTTGTTCCTTTCTCTTTTTCTCCTTTCTCTCTCTTGCTTTCTTTTCTTCTTTTCATTCTCTTTCTCTTTTGCACTTTTCCTCTTTCTCTTTCTATTTTGTCTTTTTCTGTTTCTTTCCTTCTTTGTTACTCTCTTTCTCTCTGTCTGTTTCTCTTTTTTCCTTCCTCTCTCTCTGTTTCTCATTTTTCTTTCTCTTTCTCTTTCTCTCTGTTTCCCTCTTTCTTCTCTCTCTCTCTTTCTTTTTTTTATTCACTCGCACTTTCATCAGTATCATTATTATTGTCATTATTGATTTTATTAATTTTATTACATTTGCTATTACTTTTCTGTCATATACCTTTCTTTTATCAATGGCTGATTTGACTTGCAATTAATTATTCCTTCTCTATCTGTCTTTCTTTTCTTGGTACGAGGAGAAATTTCGAGCACTTATTTGAGAAATTATTTTTTCCCAGTTCAATCAATATTCTTTTGTATTTGTTTATATATTTTTTATATTTAACGAAGTCCATCTTTGTCTCATTCTTTTACACATTTGACGACAAAATTGTTTTGCTTACACTAGTAATAATACTTGACCTTATTCTGTAGTTCCCCCGATCGATACTTTTTTGGTATGAGGGGAACATTCTTTTAATTTTATTTATTTATTTATTATGTATGTTTTTTTTTTTTGCAGCCAGACTTTTTCTTTCAAATCAAAGAGTGGCATTGCAACAGATCTCAGTGAATTTCCCAAAGTACAATCTATATCTACTTGCACCAACGTTTAATGACGTCATCAGGCAAATGTGCCCACCCCCCTTTCCTCGTGTCCTTTAGTTTTTGTAGTACACGACCCATTGTACATACTTATACTGTTTGTAAGTATAAATACATGCATATTTTCACCAGTATGTGGCTTGTTTTCTTTTTATCCTTCTTGGTTTTGGATTCAAGGGTGATGGGGATTTGTGTGTGGGTTGGAAGTCGAGAATGAGTATTAAGTGCATTCTTGGAGTTGGGAGAGAAAAACGGCCTTGTACAGGAAATGGGAATATTATAGAGAATGAAAAAAACAGGTTGAAATGGATCAAGTTTTTTTTTTCTCAGATCATAAAGATTTTATTTTCTTGTTAAAGCAAAAAAAACAATAATTTCTGAAAAGACGATTTATTTTAGTACCCTAATTTTTAACATTGGGAGCCGGACTTTTCGCCAGCTTTAGAAAATACACAGTCCCACGGTCCTCTCGGTCAGTCATGCTGCTACTTTGCTTTGGGAAAACAAAGCAAGTTCAGCGCAACTTATGGATGACCTCTCGCAACTGTACATAACTCTAGGATATGCACAAAGAGACCACCACTGAACACTCAACTGCACGTACTTTGACAAAGAACATCGCTTGCTCACGAAAAGTTCTCTGAAAATAGATTGATGGTCATTTTCATTTCAGCTTTGTGGTGGTGTGTGATTTCTCTTTATTCCAAACACAGTTCTTTACTTATTATTGGGCGCAATATCTCGCGCACCATAGAAACTTGTAGAAAGAATTTCATCATACATTTCCCACGTATATATATACAAAAAATAGATATTTACTCCTGGTCATAAAAAGCATTAGGAAAAATACAGCCATATAAAAGTGATATTCCTGGAATTCGTGCTCCAGTTATCAATTGAATGTCTCGAGCCAATGCGTAAAGTTACTGGCCTTCTGGCATTCTTTGGGCTCATTATATTTATATTATATACAAGTACAACGTGCAAATCGCAATACACTGGTATCAAAAGCTAACTACATGATCGCTTTGTATATTACATTAAGAAGGCTGGTTTTAATTCTTTTGATGAGGTCTTTTTAATGTCGTTTTGAGAGATGCCAAGGAATCGATGACGCTAGTGTGTGTTCTACGAAAATACGCATTTTGGTAAAGTAGTAAAAGAACTTCAAGAAAGTAGCATCTCAATGTGACAATTTGTTGCGGTTATCGTTTGCAGAAACTGAATCCGCAGATACACCGGGATGTATCATTCATTTTAAACCACATCCAGCGCCAGCCTTTCAGTGCCAGTCGGACCAGTCCATGTCGTCCGAGCGGTACGAGTCCCTGCCGCTGAGAGCCTCGTCAAAGGCATCGCGTCTCTTCGTTATGGCCGTCTTGAGGATGAGGGAAATGTCGTTGAGCGAGTGTTCGGGGATGTGAGTCAGGTCGGACAGCGCCGCGGGCCGGACGGGTCGCAGCCTCTGCTTCTGACTCAACAGCTGTTCCGAGGTCACGACCAGAGGCCCGACGCGCGAGCCGGACTCTGCCCTGCGCGCTTCCGGCGACCGAGCTCGCGCCCGGCGCTGAGGACTGCGGGACGACCGCGGCCACCGCTCGGGGCTGTGGCGGAAGTCCGCCTCCAAGTGGCGGTCCGTGGAGCGCCGCCGCTCGGGACTGCGCGGACTAGGGGAGTACCTGCGCTCGGGAGAGCGTCGCCTCGGGCTGGACGAGTACCTCCGGTCGCGCTTTTCGAGGCGCGGGTCCTCCGGCTCGTCCAGGACGTGGTTGGAGCCCCCGGAGCTGCTGCCCTCCAGGCTCGTCCACGACTCGTTGGGACTCTCGCCCAGGCTGTCTCTGCTGTCGGCCAGCCGCTCGCGACTCTCGGCCTGGCGCCTCAGCCTCGCCCTCTTGTCGCCGGACAGCTGGCGCTCGCGGTTGTACGGCTTCTTGTATCGGATTTCCCGGCGGAGTTCCGAGTGTCTGTCGGTGCTGCTGAAGCGCCTCTCGTTGCTGCTCGAGCGGCGGTCTCGCTCGTCGCTGGTCTCCAGGCTGGCGGCTCGTCTGTCGCGCGAGGACATCTTGAAGTTCCTGCTTCTCTCCACGACCTGCTTGGGCTCCCGGCGCGGCCTGTTGGACCGCCTGTCGTCCCTCCGCTCGCGGCCGTCGCGGACCTTGCTGCCGTCGCGGTCTCGGCTCTCCTGCCGCCGGTCCCGCGGGTCCCGCCCCTGGTTCCAGCCGCGGTCCTTCTTGGCCCTCGTCTCTCGCTCGCGGCTCCCTCGGTCCCGCTCCTTCTCCGGGCTGCGCCGGTCGCTGCGCCGTCTGTCGGGGCCCCGCTCCTTGCTCTCGCCGCGCCGCCCTCGCCCGCGCTCGCTGCTGACGCCCTGCCGAGGCACGCGCTGGTCTATGCTGTGGTCCCGACTCGCTGCCCTCCTCCCGGAGTCGCTGACGGGGGGGCGGGACATCTTGTCGGGCGACCGGCGCCGACCTTCGTCTCTCGGCACCAGGTCCCGCTGCCGCCCGCGGTCCGGACTGCGGGCGGGGGGCTGGGGAGGAGCGAGGACTTCCCGGCGGGGCTGGCTGTCTGCTGGGAGATGGGCGGCGGGCGGGCGAAAGGCGGCGGGTCGGGGAGGCGTGGGGCGGGGAGCGGGAGGCCTCGTCTGCGATTAAAAGTTCATCGATTAGCCTCGCATCAGCCGAGAGAAAGCCATTAAACCAACATGATAAAGCTGTTGATGACGACGACAATAATGATAACAGCAATAGCATAATAACAATAAAACTAATCACCACCAGTAACAAAAGGACGCAAATCATAATCAACAACAAAATAACGAGACAAATCACCAACAACACCAAAGTACTAACGACACACAACAGCAAAATCCAAAGCCCTGCACACCCAGCTCACCTCGCGCGGGACGGTAGCGGGCGGGGTCAGAGGTCACCAAGCCCATCGTCTCGAGAGCCTCTGGAATATGGCGGTCTCTGGGCGAGTTGTCCATTTCGCTATTTCTGATCGCTCTCTGTTGCTGCAACTGACGCCGTATCAATTCCACGCTTTCTTCCACGACTCCGATTATAGTTCTGTTGGAAAGAAGCGCACGTATTGTCTACTAATTTAAAACAGAAATGACAAAAAAATATTGAATTGCAAAAAACAAAAAGAAGAGCATCTTTCGGTGTTTGCAAAAGGTCAAATGTAATCATGATAAAGGTTAAAAATATCTCTTGTGCAAAAAAAGTTTCAAACTTAATACTGATAGAGAGAATTAAGCATACACCTAAACATGCATTAAAAAACTCTAAAGTTACCCCCATCCATTTTCTCTTTCAAAGAAAACGAGAGATCAAAACACACGGGTAACTAATATAAAATCAAAAAGGGACGCATTACAGAAACACCACAGATTCTCAGGCGTTTCCCCAACACTCCCAATAGGATTATTACCTCGCGGCGCCGACATCAGCCAGTAACGAAGGCCCGATATTAGCATTCTGCAGGACGCCACGCCAGGAGGTGGGGACCGCGGCCGAGTCCAGCGCCCCAAGGATTTCCTCGAAGCTCGGCCTCAGGGAAGGATTCTGAGCCCAGCAGGAGGTGATGAGTTCCTTCAGTTCCCTCGACACTCCGGCGACTGGGAGATGGGGACGCCCGCCCGATTCAATGGTTTCCATGATCTGTAGAGGAAAGCAAGTTGCGAATAATGGGAGGAGGTTGTGCGAATAATGGGAGGAGGTTGTGCGAATAATGGGAGGAGGTTGTGAAAATGTATATTTACAGGACTTACACCAGCAAAAACATCAAAATAAAAATAACCCCCCAAAAAAAAAAAAAAAAAAAAAAAAAAAAACACTCCCTAAAAACAACAATAACAATAATAATAATAATGATAATAATAACAATAATAATAAAATAATAATAAAATAACATATCAATAATAAAAAACAAACAAGCAAGCAAACAAGCAAAACAAACAAGTATCCCAAAAATAAACAAAAAGAAAGCAAAAAAAAAACAGACCTGGAATATATCCAAGCCTCTGAAGGGGTGGCTCGCCGTCAGCATCTCCCACAGGATGATGGCGTAACTATACACGTCACACTTGGCCTGACACGGTCCCTTCGTCAGCAGTTCAGGGGCCATCCAAGCGGGTGTGCCTCTGTGGGGGGGGGGAGTGGGGGGGGGGGGGGGTCAGATAGAGTGAGTTTTTTGTGTGTTTGATTATCTCTTGTTTTGTTTTGAATCATTTTTATTGGTTTAGGGTATGGTTTTACTTATAATTATTATTTATTTATAAATTGTGTGATTTACTTATAATTATTATTTATTTATAATTAAGGTGTGATTTACTTATAATTATTTATTTATAATTAAGGTATATCTACTTATAATTATTATTTTATTTATAATTAAGGTATAATTACTTATAATGATTATTTATTTATAATTAAGGTGTAATTTACTTATTAGTATTCATTTATAATTAAGGTATATAATCTACTTANTTTAGGGTATGATTTACTTATAACTATTATTTATTTATAATTAAGGTGTGATTTACTTATATTATTTATTTATAATCAAGGTATAATCTACTTATAATTATTATTTATTTATAATTAAGGTATAATCTTATATGATTATATTATTTATAATTAAGGTGTAATTTACTTATAATTAGTATTTATCTATAATTAAAGGTAAATTTACTTAATTATTATTAATCAATAATTAAGGTGTCATTATGATTTAAATAATACCTGCAATATAACTAATTATTGCCATCAAACATACAATTAAAAGAAAATTAAAGAATCCGAACAAATGAATAAGGTACTAGACGAATAAACAAACAAATGAAGAATAAACAAAACAAGAAAAAAATCAGACCTTAAAGAAAAGTTAAACAAATGAATAAAAAACACTGGGTAAGTAAACACAAACAACAACAAATGAATAAAACACTGGATAAGTAAACACAAACAACAACAAATGAATAAAACACTGGATAAGTAAACACAAACAACAACAAATGAATAAAACACTGGATAAGTAAACACAAACAACAACAAATGAATAAAACACTGGGTAAGTAAACACAAACAACAACAAACCGACCTTAACAATAACAAACAAATGAAGAATAAAAATAAAAAGAATCCGACCTTAAAAAAAAAAATTAAAATGAATAAAACACTGGATAATTAAACACAAACAACAACAAACCGACCTTAACATTAACAAACAAATAAAGAATAAAGAGAAAAAGAATCGACCTTAAAAAATAAATTAAAGAATAAACAAAAACACTGATAAGTAAACACAAACAACAACAAACCACGCGTAACATAACAAACAAATGAAGAATAAAAAGAAAAAATCCGACCTTAAATTTTTAAATGAATAAACACTGGATAGTACAACCCCCGACCTTAAATAGTTTTTAAAATTAATAAAAACAGGATAAGTAAACACAAACAACAACAAACCGACCTTAAATAGTTTTAAAAAATGAATAAAACACTGGATAAATAAACACAAACAACAACAAACCGACCTTAAATAGTTTTAAAAAATGAATAAAACACTGGATAAGTAAACACAAACAACAACAAACCGACCTTAAATAGTTTTTAAAAATTAATAAAACACTGGATAAGTAAACACAAACAAACAACAAACCCGACCTTAAATAGTTTTAAAAAATGAATAAAACACTGGATAAGTAAACACAAACAACAACAAACCGACCTTAAATACTTTTAAAAAATGAATAAAACACTGGATAAGTAAACACAAACAACAACAAACCGACCTTAAATAGTTTTTAAAAAATTAATAAACACTGGATAAGTAAACACAAACAACAAACAAACCGACCTTAAATACTTTTTAAAAATGAATAAAACACTGGATAAGTAAACACAAACAACAACAAACCGACCTTAAATAGTTTTAAAAAAATGAAATAAAACACTGGATAAGTAAACAACAAACAACAAGAAACCGAACCATTAAATACTTTTAAAAATGAATAAAACACTGGATAAATAAACACACACAACAAACCGACCTTAAATAGTTTTAAAAAATGAATAAAACATGGATAAGTAAACACAAACAACAAGAAACCGACCTTAAATACTTTTAAAAAATGAATAAAACACTGGATAAATAAACACAAAACAACAACAAACCGACCTTAATACTTTAAAAAATGAATAAAACACTGGATAAGTAAACACAACAACAAACCGACCTTAAATAGTTTTTAAAAATTAATAAAACACTGGATAAGTAAACACAAACAACAAACAAACCGACCTTAAATACTTTTAAAAATGAATAAAACACTGGATAAGTAAACACAAACAAACAACAAACCGACCTTAAATAGTTTAAAAAAATGAAATAACACTGGATAAGTAAACACAAACAACAAGAAACCGACCTTAAATACATTTTAAAAATGAATAAAACACTGGATAAATAAACACAAACAACAACAAACCGACCTTAAATACTTTTAAAAAATGGAATAAAACACTGGATAAGTAAACAACAAACAACAAACCGACCTTAAATAGTTTTAAAAAATGAATAAAACACTGGATAAGTAAACACAAACAACAAACAAACCGACCTTAAATACTTAAAAAATGAATAAAAACACTGGATAAGTAAACACAAACAACAAACCCGACCTTAAATAGTTTTTAAAAAATTAATAAAACACTGGATAAGTAACACAAACAACAAACCGACCTTAAATAGTTTTTAAAAAATGAATAAAACACTGGATAAGTAACACAAACAACAACAAACCGACCTTAAATAGTTTTAAAAAATGAATAAAACACTGGATAAGTAAACACAAACAACAAAACAAACCGAACCTTAAATACTTTTTAAAAATGAATAAAACACTGATAAGTAAACACAAACAACAACAAACCGACCTTAAATAGTTTTTAAAAATAAACAAAACACTGGAATAAGTAAACACAAACAACAACAAAAACCGACCTTAAATAGTCTTAAAAAATGAATAAACACTGGATAAGTAAACACAAACAACAAACAAACCGACCTTAAATACTTTTAAAAAATGAATAAAAACACTGGATAAGTAAACACAAACAACAACAAACCGACCTTAAATAGTTTTTAAAAAATGAAATAAAACACTGGATAAGTAAACACAAACAACAAACAAACCGACCTTAAATAGTTTTAAAAAAATGAATAAAACACTGGATAAGTAAACACAAACAACAACAAACCGACCTTAAATAGTTTTTAAAAAATAAACAAAACACTGGATAAGTAAACACAAACAACAACAAACCGACCTTAAATAGTCTTAAAAAATGAATAAAACACTGGATAAGTAAACACAAACACAAACAAACCGACCTTAAATAGTTTTAAAAAATGAATAAAACACTGGATAAGTAAACACAAACAACAACAAACCGACCTTAAATAGTTTTAAAAAATGAATAAAACACTGGATAAGTAAACACAAACAACAACAAACCGACTTAAATAGTTTAAAAAATGAATAAAACACTGGATAAGTAACACAAACAACAACAAAACCGACCTTAAATAGTTTTAAAAAATGAATAAAACACTGGATAAGTAAACAACAAACAACAACAAACCGACCTTAAATAGTTTTAAAAAATGAATAAAACACTGGATAAGATAACACAAACAAACAACAAACCGACCTTAAATTTTTTAAAAAATAAAAAACACTGGATAAGTAAAACAAACAACAACAAACCGACCTTAAATAGTCTTAAAAAATGAATAAAACACTGATAAGTAAACACAAAAACAACAAAACCGACCTTAAATACTTTTAAAAAATGAATAAAACACTGGATAAGTAAAACAAACAAAACAACAACCGACCTTAAATAGTTTTTAAAAAAAATAAACAAACACTGGATAAGTAAACACAAACAACAACAAACCGACCTTAAATAGTCTTAAAAAATGAATAAAACACTGGATAAGTAAACACAAACAAACAACAAACCGACCTTAAATAGTTTTAAAAAATGAATAAAAACACTGGATAAGTAAACACAAACAACAACAAACCGACCTTAAATAGTTTTAAAAAATGAATAAAACACTGGATAAGTAAACACAAACAACAACAAACCGACCTTAAATAGTTTAAAAAATGAATAAAACACTGGATAAGTAAACACAAACAACAACAAACCGACCTTAAATAGTTTTAAAAAATGAATAAAACACTGGATAAGTAAACACAAACAACAACAAACCGACCTTAAATAGTTTTAAAAAAATGAATAAAACACTGGATAAGTAAACAACAAACAACAACAAACCGACTTAAATAGTTTTTAAAAATAAACAAAACACTGGATAAGTAAACACAAACAACAACAAACCGACCTTAAATAGTCTTAAAAAATGAATAAAACACTGGATAAGTAAACACAAACAACAACAAACCGACCTTAAATAGTTTTAAAAAATGAATAAAACACTGGATAAGTAAACACAAACAACAACAAACCGACCTTAAATAGTTTTTAAAAAAATAATAAAACACTGGATAAGTAAACACAAACAACAAACCGACCTTAATAGTTTTAAAAAAATGAATAAAACACTGGATATGTAAACACAAACAACAACAAACCGACCTAAATAGTTTTAAAAATGAATAAAACACTGGATAAGTAAAACACAAACAACAAACCGACCGTAAATAGTTTAAAAAATGAATAAAACACTGGATAAGTAAACACAAACAACAAGAAACCGACCTTAAATACTTTAAAAAAATGAATAAAACACTGGATAAGTAAACACAAACAACAAACAAACCGACCTTAAATAGTTTTTAAAAATAAAACAAAACACTGGATAAGTAAACACAAAAAACAACAACAAACCGACCTTAAATAGTTTTTAAAAAAATAAACAAAACACTGGATAAGTAAACACAAACAACAACAAACCGACCTTAAATAGTCTTAAAAAATGAATAAAACACTGGATAAGTAAACACAAACAACAACAAACCGACCTTAAATACTTTTAAAAAATGAATAAAACACTGGATAAATAAACACAAACAACAACAAAACCGACCTTAAAAAAAGTAAAAAAAATAAACAAAACACTGGATAAGTAAACACAAACAACAAACCGACCTTAACAATAACAAACAAATGAAGAATAAAGAGAAAAAGAATCAGACCTTAAAAATAAATTAAAGAATAAACAAAACACTGGATAAGTAAACACAAACAACAACAACAACAACAACATCCAAACACACGACGAAATACACAAGTCAACACAGGCAAGAACCTGACCTGATGGAACCACGCTGAGCCGGCGACCCAGCACGTGACCTCTTCAGGATAGAGAAACCGAAGTCCGCGATCTTGGCCCGGTAGTAGGAGTCGAGGAGGACGTTCATGGACTTGAGGTCAAGGTGGAGAACCTGTGGAGGACGTAAGTGAAAAGAATGGGGAAAATTATGGAAAAGAAAACGAAGGAAATAGATTACATTTTTTTTGTTTATTTATTGTGGAGGACGTAAGTGAAAAGAATGGGGAAAATATGGAAAAGAAAACGAAGGAAATAGATCACATTTTTTTTTGTTTATTTATTGTGGAGGACGTAAGTGAAAAAATGGGGAAAATATGGAAAAGAAAACGAAGGAAAGAAATTAATTTTTTTTTGTTTATTTATCAAAAAGATGGGGAAGAAAACGAAGGAAATAAATCATATTTTTTTTGTTTATTTATCAAAAAGATGGGGAAGAAAACGAAGGAAAAGGATATTTTTTGTTTTTATTTCTCTTCCTATATTTTATATATATGTATCATTTTGTATTCATTACATTCATTGTTTATTCACTTATTTTCCTTCATTACCCGAATTATTCTCCCCTGCAAAAAAATAGACCAATAACAACACACAACATCAGCCTTAAGATTTAACTCCATCCTTCTCGATTCAACTCCACGAAGCGAAGATTAAACGAAGCTAATTGAAAACACACGAAAAAGAGGGAACCAACAGGTAAGAACTCACTCACCTGAGGTTCATGTTTGTGGAGGTAGTTCATGCCTTGAGCCACGTCTTTGGCCACCACAAAGTAGGCTGCGTGGTCGAGTTTGTCGCGCCTGAGGGGGTTGAGAAGAAAAAAAAAAACATTAACAGGTTGGGAAATAGAGGAAGAATAAACATGAACAGGTAGGGAAAATAGAGGGTAAAAAAGAAAAAAAAAAAAAAAAAAAAAAAAAAAAAAAAAAAAAAAAAAAAAAAAAAAAAAAAAAAAAAAAAAAAACAGAGGAAGTTAAGAAGAATATAAAACATGAAGAGGAAGTTAATTTAAGAAAAAAAACAGGTAGGGAAATAGAGGAAGTTAAGAAAAAAAAAACATTTACAGGTAGAGAAAATAGAGATTTATAGTGACATACATGAACAGGTTGGGAAAATAGGAGGAAAGAAAAAGAAAAAACATTAACGGGTAGGGAAATTAGAGGAAATTAAGAAAAAAAACATGAACAGGTTGAGGAAATAGAGGAAGTTAAGAAAAAAAAAAACATTACAGGTAGGGAAATAGAGGAAGTTAAGAAAAAGAAAAAACATTAAGGGTAGGGAAATAGAGGAAATTAAGAAAAAAATATATAAG